CGCCCGGCGGGGAGACCCTGCCACCCAMCCACCTCGGCCCTCAGCGTGCCCCAAAATTAGCGCTGAGAACCAGCTGGGGCGGGACCACCGAGCGGGGATAGTGTGGAATCACTCACGGGGATAATGTGAGGACATGGGGATGAGCCAAAGGATGTGGGGTGAACCCGAGGATGCAGGGATAAGCAGTACCCTGGACACAAGGATGAGAGGTACCCGAGGATGCAGGGAAAAGCAGGACCTAAGGACACAGAGGTGAGTGGTACCCAAGGATGCAGGGATGAGCAGTACTGGAGGACACAAGGATGTGTGGACACAAAGATTCAGGGATGAGCAGTACCTGAGGGCACTGGATGAGTGGTACCCGAGGATGAGGGGAAGAGCAGCACCCAAGGACACAGGGATGAGCAGGACTCAAGGATGTGAGGGTGAACCTGGGGATGCAGGAATGAGCAGTGCTCAAGGACACAAAGATGTGTGGTAGCCAAGGATGTGGGGATGGGCAACACCTAAGGATATGGAATGAACCTAAGAGTGTGGAGATGAGTTTGAGGCTGTAGGGATGAGTGGTAGCCAAGGACATGAGGTAAGTGATACCTGAGCCCTGAGCAACCCACGGGAGGGACACCCAAGGTGCAGAGCCCACCACTGCTTTTGCCCCTTAAAAAAGACACCAGCAGTGTCAGGACAGGCAGTGCCAGTGCAGGCACAGAGGGAGCTCCTCATCCTTCCTTTCTGTTGTTTTTCATTCCCATGACTAAAGTTTCACAGGTCCCTGTGTCACCCAGCAGGGAGTGACCATTGCCACATTCCTGGTGTCCCCACCCACCCCTTTATCTGTCCCCCCTGACCACAGCCCCTCATCTGGGTCGTTTGCTGATCCCCCCCGGCTCAGCTGCAAAACTCAGGCAAACAGGAGAGGGGAGGAAGGTCTCATCTAGTCATGGAAAAACTAACATGGAATGTGGCAAAAACTGAGCAGCACCTTTCTGCCTGGTTTCCTTTTGGGTGAGCACGTGCCAAATCTGATGGGCAGCCACTGACTCACCGCTGTCACTGTCACGAGGGATGGACTTGTTTCCTCTGTCCTGTTTGCTCCACTGGGGATGGTTTCACTGCTTAGATCTGCAAACCCCATCCTGCTGCCAGCCCCACTTTGGGATAATTCACAGCTGTCACAGCTATGACAAATTTTGGGGAGCTCAGGAGCAACGATAGGGGACAAAATGTTCTCAGTGGCGACACAGCACCAGGCAGAGTTTGAGGAAGGAGGGGTTGGGCTTCTGGCAAACAACGAGAACCTGCTGTTCTTTCTCCATATTCAGGGGGTTATTCTTTGGGTATATCCTCACCTTTTGGGCGTTTCTCCCTGCAGAAGGGTGCTGGAGCTGGGAAAGGTGAGCAGGAGGGTGGCAGCAGTGGGCACAGCCCCAGCCCCAGCTGCTTTAGGACTGACCTGCCTGGGCAGCACCAGGGTGGCTGCAGGGACCCTTTGCTTTGGGGACTTCTCCTTGCCCGTGGCCAGCAGGATTTGGGATGCTGTGCACTGGCTCTGGCAGCAGCTCCCTGCCGTGCCAGGGGCCACATTCTCACCAGACTCCTGCCTATAACTGCTGTGATGTTTTTAAGGCAAATAGGACGGTGAGTAAACCTCGGGCGCCGGGTGAAACCCTCCTGGCCATTCCCAGAGGCTGCGTTTTAACAGCATTTCTGATAAGCCCTAACTCTGATCAGAGCACCATGAAATATTAAAGCCTGTTGATAGCTCATTAGAGGCACTTTTGGCTGGCCCTGCAGTGCGTGCCACGGGCTCAGCCTGCAGCAGAGCCTGAGGAGCAGCTCTGTGTCCTGTCAGATCAGGGAATCAGTGGCTGGAGGGAACAGGGCACTGTCACAGCAAGGAGAAATAAGAATTCAAATCCTGGTAGGCAGCTGTGGCCACTCCAGCAGCCCCAGGTCCAGTAGCCCCATGGCTGGCTTGGGAGAAT